CAGCAGGTTTAGCGCCGAGACGCCAGGCACGTGGCCCGCGCAGATCTGCAGCAGGCGCACCAGGCGCTGCGCCATGCTGGCTCGGAAGCTGTCTACCTGCAGGGAGGGCAGGAGAAGGCTGTGAGTAGGGTGGGCTGCGGCGCTGGGGCGGAGACCTAGGCTTCCGGCTAGTGGGGCTTGCCCAGCCTTTCAAACGACCTCTAGGGCAGCTAAGGTTAAGGACACCAACTCCACCACTTGTCACCCACGACCTCCTTGGTACAGCAGCCAGTGGGGACTTCTCAGTCCCCGTGAAATGCTGCTGAGCTCCTGCCACTCACACCTGCTCCCTCCTCTTGGGCCAGCATTGGGACGCTGGGGTTCCAGGGCTTGCGCTTTGGAGTTGGCCTCCCACATTCAATTCCTAGGTGACCTCATCCCCTTCTGTGGCTTCGAAGCGACCTAACTGCTCACGTCACACGTCACCGCCACAGACCTCTCCGAACAGCATGTGCAGCCGTGCGCTCCACCTGCCCTCTAGACTGTCAGCAGCCAGCATGGCTGAGCACGACACGCCAGAGGCCCGGACCGTCCTGCGGTCCTGCTTATCTCTGCCGAAGCAACAACCTTCTGGTCACCAGGCCAGAAACTGCAACCGTCTTTGACTCCTCTTTCTGTCACATCTCACATCCGTCCATCAGCACGTTCTGTCCCCTCTGCCGGGGAAACTGCTGCCCTCTTCCCCAGCCACCACTGGGCGCAGGCCGCTCTCAGCCCTCCCAGAAAGGGCCCCCAGACCAAACTCCCCCTCTGCCCTGGCCCCTCTCCCCGCAGCAGCCAGAGGAGCTTCTCAGAACCAAGCCAGCCTCATCTGTCTCGGGTCCCACGTTCCCCAGCAGCTCCAGTCTGACCCACGAGGCGTGGCTCACCTGGCCCCCTTGGTTCCAGACCTCCCGGCCTCCCTGTCCTGTCCTGGTGACACCAGGCAAGTTCCAGACTCAGGGCCTGTGGGTCTGCTGCCACTCCTGCCATCGGACACGCTCCGCCACCACGGCCCGCCCTTCTAGTCCCTCAGATCCGTCTCACTTCGAAGTGCAGCCTCCAGGTCAGTCTACATCCTGAACCTTTCCCTCCACCTGACTTCCCCGCTCTCCCTTTTTCGGTGCTGGGGTCCAACCCTGGGTCACACATGTTGGGCAGGAGCTCTCCCACTGAGCCCTAGCTCTGGCTATGCTGCCTCACTTGGTCTTAAGTTTCTGGGCTCCAAAGTCCAGATGGGAGCCTGACGGTTCCACCTCAGCCTCCCATAATCACTGCACCCGGCACCAGAATTTTCAGTTCTGTTCTACGCTGTGCCCCCAGTGCCTGGGACGGCTCACTGTATATGCGTGAGAAGTGTTTGTCGAATGAGTCCTGATCTGAGTTCTGTGGCCTCTGCCCTCAAAGCTCATCTTCGAGCTGCTGCTTGGGACCCACAGTCGCCCCTCCCACCCACACGTGGCCTTGGGAGACAAGGGCCGAAGCCCAAGTCTGACCACAGTCACGACTTCGCCCACGACGTACAGGAAAGAATGAGTGAACCCCACGCCAGGCTTTACAGGCCCAGCGAACCCTCCTGCTGTGGTGCACATCAGGCGTCTGACTCTTTGTCTCTAGCTTCGGAGAGGACGGTGCCAGTGTCGACTTCCCCTGTGTGCCCTGCCGGCAGAACCTGGCAATTGCTCCGCCGGGCGAATCACACAACTCTGGGGTGTGTTTCCTGGTCTGAAAAGGGGGCTGGCAATTTGTGCCACAGAAAGGACTCGAAACACAGTGAGGCTCAAACTTGATTCTGCAGGAGGGTGCGCTCTGGGAAGGACCACACTGGCCTGCGGAGTAACGAGGGTTCATACACGGCAGGCTTCATTGGAAGGATGCAGGTCCATGCTCTGAGCAGGTATTTTTGTAGTCCCTGCTGTGGCTGACTGGAAACAGGCGGGGCCTCTGCTTCCCACACAGGTCTTATCTTGAGACAGAGTTCTCAGGCTAGAAAAGGTCCCAGACCTGGTACGGCCCGCCACCTCATGGCCATGCACAGAACTGCACAAGCTTAGCAGGTGCGCGCCCACCCACACCATCTCTGTGCGGCAGAGATGATTCTTCAAATAGAGAAAAGAAAACTCAAGGGGAAGCCTACAGGAGATAGGTGGCTTGCTCAAAGCCACACATCAGCAGGCTACTGTGAAGAGGCAGCTGGATACCAGCTGTGACGTCACCATAGTTTGCTTTGAGCAAAGTCTGGCAGGGAAGCAGCTGAGGTGTGCCAGGACCTCAGGGTTCCGCCTGTGAGACCCGCCAGGGGTTTTAAAAATAGCCACCCCATTTGAAAAGAGAGAACAAACTGTGATGAAAACTCGGTGTAATCCTAGCACTCTGGGAGGCTGAGGCAGGAAGATGGCAAGTTTGAAACAAACCTGGGCAACTTAGCAACTTGGTGAGACCCTACATCAAAATAAAAAATAAAAAAGTGGTTGGGGATGTAGCTCAGCGTGAAGGCCCAGGGTTCAATCCCCCGTACTGGAAAAACAAAACAAAACACCCACACAAATTTGTGATGGAGTAGTACGTGTGCCTTCACCAATGCGCTGGTCCAGGGCCGACCTAGACCAGGCCTAACATCCAGGACACAGCCGGAGTGGTGGCGAGGTCTACCTTAACCCTAAGCGCCATGCAAACATCACCGTTTCCATGGTAACAGTCAGGATACTCTATCCACTGGACGCACTTGTCTAGACTGGCCATGCTCACTTTCACTTAGAAGTTAGTAGGGAAAAAGAAGTAATTTTTTTTTCTCATCTGATTTCACACATCCTCTGAATTCTGCCCTCAGACCACACAGGGGTGAGGGACTCAGTTCTCTCTTCATTACATCACTTTGCCTTTGGGAGCCAGACCCAGAGGAGAGAAAGACAGATCTTCAAAATGAACCTTAAAATGAGTAAACAGATCCTGCATGCAAGTGAGCGGGCCTGGTGCACAGGTAGGTGGTCAGCCCACGCCTCGTGAGCCCTAGCACCCCTCCCCAGGAGCATGGGGCTCCTGCTGAGGACCCTCACACTCGCTACAAGCCCAGCCACCCACCTCCTAGCAAAGGTCTGTCCCCATTGCCTGCTGTGCCCTGCTCTGGCCGGGACTGGACAAGCCCTATAATCCAGGGAGCCAGGGGACATCAGGCACTTGACTACCAAGGAGACAGGAGGACACACTGGTTGGTGAAACACCGATGACATATGGTCTCAGAAGCAGGGCAGTGAGATATCAATCTGGGCCCACAGATGTATACACGATGTACACACATTTCCCAAGGCACAGCTTAGTCGAAGGAGGTCCTGTCTACGGAGCAGAAGAGCCAGGGTCTGGTGTCTCCCCTCACAGTGGAGCCGCCTCACCCGGGCACTCGATGACCCTCCCACAAGCATTCCTGACCTGCCCTTTCCCATGTCCGAGTGTAACACCCGCCACCGCCATCAGGGTCCTCACCTCCAGGTCACAGAAGAGCAGGGGGCTTCGGTAGGTGTGGGCCAGCTTCCCGACTGTGTTCCGGTGGACGCTGCAGTGGCTGTCCCGCCCAGCTGCAAAGAGGCCAGGAGTTGCAGGCTGCACCCAGGGGCCCTTGGGCAAAGCCGCCACCGGCCCCTCACAGCGACAGTTTCTTCCTAATCCTATTCTGCATCTTTTTTTGGTCAGTCGAGACCATCAGTTAGACAATAAAGCTGAAAGGGCTGAGTGCGCTCTGCAATGCACAATACTCCTCGTTATGAAACAAGACAGAGAGTGCTCCTGCCGAGGGGTGACTGCAGAGCCACTGAATCGCCCTGCGGAAGTTACGGGCACTTTTTATTCACCACGGCTTATACAGAATAATCTACGCCAGCTCCTCCCTTTTGGGCTCAGTTAGCTCCAGAGGCAGACAGGTCACGTGAGTCACATGTCACATCCCAGGTGCCAGTGGGGGCACTGGAGCTGAGTTTTGAGGTATTCGTAGGGTAAGACAAAGGGCACAAGTGCTGGCGGGAACTGCATGAGCTCCGCTGTTTCCACAGGGCCTGGGGCAAATTGCTTAACCTTGCGACCAGTTTCCTCAGTTATAAAACTGGGCTGCTACTTACCCCTAAGGGTGATGACATGAAAAGCAAAGCAACCACAAATTGCGTATGGCCCAGTGAGAGCTCAGTCAGGCTAGCTGTTACCATTTCTAGACACAGAGGCAGAGGCCAAAGACCAAAACACGTCCCAGAGGAGTTTGGCTTTGACTCTGAAAGCTGCAGGGTCACTGCTTAGACTGGTCCTCTGTCACTCAGGCTGCAGCTCTCCCTCAAGGGGTGCACTCACCCCCCGTGGCCAGGAAGCACACTTTGCCCAGGAAGAAGCTGGCGTCCACGTGGCGCAGGGACTTCTCCACGTTCTGCAAGCTGCAGGCGCCAGGCCGGGCAAGAAAATAAACCAGAGGACAAAACTTCACAAGAGAGATGGCAGAAGCCCCTGCTCCCCAGTCCGAGGGCAGAGAATAAAAAACAGGTAACAGAAACATCTCTGGAGGGAGGGACACCGTTCTTTAATTAAAAAACAAAACTACTTTAATCACAAAGTGACTCAAGCTTGTAAAATAATCACATAGTAAATATGGGGGCAAACACAGAAAGTAAACGTCCCCTCTCCCAGCACCACCCTTCACTCCCAACTCCTGAAACAGTGTGGGCTGTAACCCTTAGAACTCTTGTCATACGCAAACACGGAAGTCTGAAGAAGCTTCTGCCTTCTGGGCACCACACGGACCTGGTCAAACCCCTTGTCACACTGCACGGGTGTGGGTATGGTTTCACAGTGTCCCCCAGGGCTTCGTGTGTTCAAATTTTATTCCCATGGCGTGGTATTAAGAAGGTGGCGGCAAGGTAACTGGTTTGGAGGTGAGGGTGTGGAGGTGTTCAGGACAAGACAAGGTCACGACTGAATCTTGGGGCTTTCATAAGGAGAGGAAGGGATACACACATGTGCTCCCCTTCTGTCACCACCGCCTTTGGACTCTGCTAGCAGGAAGGCCATCACCAGGTGTGGCCCCTTGACCTTGGACCTCCACAACTGTGAGGCAAAATAAATCTCTTTTCTTGTTTTCAGTAATGAAGATTGAACCCTGGGCCTTAGTACTGAACTGCATCCCTAGCCCCCCTTAAAAAACTTTTTAATTTGAGACAAGGTCTAGCTAAATTCTTAAGTTGTACAGGTTGGGCTTGAATTTGAACTCCTCCTGCCTCAGCCTCCCAGAGTGCTGATATTACAGGTATGTACTACCTCTCTTCTCTATAAAGTAGCCTGCCTCTGGTATTTTATTACAGCAATGCAAAACTGACTATGTACACAGAAATCTGTCAGTCTTCAAAATGAATATACAACTACTACAATCTATTTTCCCAGTGATGATTATGTAAGTGGTCTCTATGTTTTCACTATTATAAGGCAATCACCACAGATCTCAGCTCTTTCTCTTCTTCCCACTGGGTGGTGAAGTCTAGACCCAATCCTGATGCTACATGGATCTACTATCTCCATACTCCAGGGTCCCCTGTGTTTTGTTTCTTTCTGTGCCTGCTATAAGGTATACAGAGTAGGTTGCTGAGAGTGTTAAAATGAGTGTGGTGGTGCACACCTGTAATCCCAGAACTCTGGGAGCTGAGGGAGGAGGACTGTGAGTTTGAGCCCAGCCTAGGCAACTTATTGAAACCTTGGCTCAAAATTAAAAGAGAGAAGAGCCAGGATGGGACGTAGCTCAGTGCAAAGGTCCTGGGTTCAATCCCTAGTACCAAAGGGAGAGAAAGAGGTATGGGGAGAGGGAGAGACAGATTGTTAAATGAACAAATGACACTTTGGGACTTGTCAGTGTCTTTTAAATGTCCACACTGGCCACTGGCTCCTTCCTCTTCATCACTTTGGTCCACCCCAGGGAGCGCCCTCCCAGAACAGGTCTGCCTGAGCCCTGATGCCCGTTCCAGGCTCTTACCTGTACTTGCTGTGAAGGTTAATCACAAACACGACCAGGTCAATGCGGGGTCGATTGACATTGGAGGGCAGAGGGAGGGACTTGGCCAAGTGACTGAAAAACAAGCAACTGTAGGACTAAAGCCACACACCCGCCTCACAGCCACCCACCTAGGAGAGGCTGCCACACACGCTGGGCAAGCGCTCCAGCACCGAGCTTCAAGGCTTTCCTTAAAGCCTGCACTTCCTATTTCTCATCTCCCCTTTTCTCAGATAATTAAGAAATACCCAAAAGTACAATAACTATAAAAGTTTAAAACACAGAACCCCTAAAAGTCTAGTCTTCTAGAAATTTCTATTGGCATTAGAAGATTTTTCTGTACCTCTCTTCTTGTACATAATGTACAAATAACAAGTATAGGATGACAGCATTAATTTAATTTGAATGGAACTGAAGCAAAATAACGAACTGAAAAAAGTGGATGCATTTTGGACAAAACTTTTTCTTATTTGTTTATTTTTTGGCAGTACTGAGGGTTGAACCAGGCCTCACCTATGCTAGGCAAGCAAATGCTCTATCACTCCGCTATATCCCCAGCCCTATTCATTTTTATTTTGAAATGGGGTCTCATTAAGTTGTGCAGGCTGGCCTTGAGCTTTTAATCCTCCTGCCTCAGCCTCCAGTTGGCATCATCATTATTATATCCATTCATATTTTGCGGACTATAACTCTGAACTCAGCCCGCTGCCACTGTCGCTATAGGGGATGAGGTGGCTGGGGAGTTCTTGTTAGCAACTGAATACTTGTAGCTGTGGAGAGGTAACTATTATTACTCATAACTCTATCTTGTTTTTGTTCCACGAATGTAGGCGATGTGTTTGTTTGTTTTTATTGGGGATCGAACTCGGGACCTTGTACTTGCCAGGCAGGCACTGTGTCCCGGAACTACACCCGGGCCCTGCAATTTATTTTTTTATCGTTTGTGGTAGTGGGGATTGAACCCAGGGACAGGCTTTCTTGAAACTGCACGTGGCTTGTAACCCCAGCACCCCATAGGCTGAGGCAGGAGGATCACAAGTTCAAACCTAGCCTGGGAAATTTAGTGAGACTCTGCCTCAAAATAAAAAGGCTTGGGATATAGCTCAGTGCAGAGGCCATTGGTTCAATCCCCAGTACTCGGGGTAGGGGGTGTCTTAAATCATTTATTTATTTATTTATTTATTTCTTACGATGCAGTCTTGCTATGAGGTCCAACGACATCAAACTCAGATTCTCCTGCCTCAGCCACCAAGCGCTGGGATAATAGGCGTGCATCACCACACCCGGCTTGAATCTCCAATCTTAATCGACAACCATCGATCGATGGAGCATCTACACTGTCCCTCACGCCGGGCCGGGTCTTTGGGTACTTACACCCGCAGCTCGGACGTGCAATCCTCCTTGAGCATTGAGTCAGCCAGCTGCTGCAAAAGAGCGTCCTCCGCGCCCACAAGCTGCCAGGGAGAGAAAGCATAGGGTGGAGACCCGGGAGGGGCGATGCCCCCACTTGGGGGCCAGGCCGTAGCCAGAAGTGGGCTGGCGGGAGCTATCGCCCAAGAGGAGGCCCCCGCTAGGACCCAATCCAGGCTTGGTGCCGCACTCGCCACCCCCGACCTCTCCCGGGCCGCCTCGCCTCGAAGAGGGATGGAGACTTGCAGAGGAGGCCAGACCTAGGGACACTAGAAAACCAAACCAGGGATAGAACTTCCAACTTGGTCAGCCCGCCCTCCGCGCGCGCCTCACTACCTCCACCAATCAGAAACAGGGAAATCTTCTGCCGCGCATCTACTGGCGAGTGCCGCCCCCAGCCTCCGAGAGCGGCGACCCTGATTGGCTCAAAGGATGGGTCTCCCGCCTACCCCGCTCTGCCTGAATAGCTTGTGCAGCACCTCAGGGAGCGCCGAGCCCGGGGCGGCAGAGGCGCAACTAATCAAGGAAGGCGTATTGGGGCCACCAGGCCGCAGGTACTTACCAGGATGGTGGCCATGTTCAGGCCGGGCAGCTTGTCCAGTGGCCTCAACATCGACATTCTCTCTGCAGGCCCAACCGCCGCTCTCAAAGCGCGCTCCGACCTTTCAAACCTCCCCGAGCCCCGCCCCCAGTGGGCTCGAGGAACACGTGACCCGTTCTAGGCGGGGCTTCAGGGCGGGGCGGGACCCTCTTAAAGGAACCGCTACCTCCTTCTCAAGGGGGCTGTTCAGCGCAGGGCCCAGACCACATAGGTGCTGGACATGCCTTGTGTATCACGCTTCAGAGAAAGAATTTCAGCGGTTCATTCGTTCCCTTGCATTC